AAGTGCCTTGCCCAAGGACACAACGACAGCACAAGTCTCTGGGGACAGCAAATTAGATGCCATGTTTCCTGCTATGTGAGCCGACTCGGAGTCCACATTCACACTAGATGACTGGATAGATGTACGACTTGGGAAAGTGACGTTACCATGTTTGTAAAAGTTACATTAGCACAATGATACAAAAGATTTTGATTGGTCAGGACAAATTTGCAATTGTAGTTCTTGCGGTTGTAGTCCTGTAGCCAAAAAATAACAATACAACATTTTTTGGGGGGAAATGTGTTTATTTTGCTAAAGGAAATTAAAATAAAAGCAAAAGTATCAGTTAATAAACAGAGACCCGGAGCAGGTCTGACTTTTGATGAAGTGGGGCAAAATTCAAAAGAACTTTATTGAACAAAAAACAATTACGCAACAATATGAGTGAATGAATAGATTTATTTACACAGGGACGAATGAAATAAGCAGAATCCACATTTCCACAAACGGAAACATTCCATGCTGCACTGGTCATTATGATTTGAATCGGTTTTCACGGGAACACAGGCAGACACCATTTTGTTTGGAATTCAACTTCACTGTGAGCTGAGGCCTTTCCCCTCCTTGTGAACACACCAGAGGAGATTCAAGGATGACAGGCATCTTCTGCCATCTGAAAATATCACTGTGGCTATCATATCTGTACGCATTCTGGAGGCTCACGCAGCTTCGTCGTGACCGTGAAAACAAAAGTGCTGGGTGACGTCGGAGCAGGCGAATTGCAGCCTTGTTTCACCGGAGGCCCTTCATGTCCTCAGAGAATCACAGTTCAGGCTTAAGTGTTGAAGACACACAGAAAACCACTTGGAAAAGATAATAAGTTGTGACACCAACTCGTAATATGATGTGGTGGTATGGTGAAACTCTGCAGGGAGGGGCAGCTCACCACAGCCGAAGTGCTAAAGCGGTCTCAGGACGAGCTGAGAAACTGACAGGCTCGGGAGGAACATGAATGATAAAGTCTAATCTAATGAAATATTTTCCCATCCTGAAACTCAGCATTATGATTGCAGAGTAAACTAACAGAGGAGGTGGGTGGCAAGTTTATAACTGTGGCTGCACTGAAAGATTTTTCTCAGAAACATAAAACAATCATGTGGCATTCTGGTTTTCACTGATACCAAATTCTGACTCTCTGGTTCATTTAACCATCATTTCAGACCTGTTTGGGCAGCATACTCCAAAATAGAGATTGCCACGCTCAGAAAGCATGACTGTATAAAACTGTGCACTAAATCTTAGAACAAGCTGCTTATGCTGCGGCCAGGCCACATGGGCTGACTGTAACCAAGCCAGTACTCTACCAATTCTGACCTAAAAAAAGAAGCTTGTTATTAATTGGGCATGGTTTCATTTTGAGCCCCTGAGGTCATAAGCCCCAAACAGTGTGACCTAAAATCCCCCCCCCCCCCCCCCCCCCCCCCCCCAAATCCCTCAACTGTGTGTCTTTTCAGCTTCAATCGGTCCATTTTCATAGCAACTGAGAAATGTAGAACCACGTGATTAGACTGGAAAGGCATTGATTGTTAATGAGTGTTATCAAAAAGAATAGAGCAATTTGCACTGCAGTTGCCACACCGTCAAGTGATGGTGCTGCTCAGGATGCCCTCTATAGCATCTGGGTAAATGGTGGTAAAAGGACATCATCAGTTGAAGGGGCATGTCTACAATAGTTCTGAATGTTGCCAACCTACTATTCCACCTCAGTTCTGTAAGATGACATTTTCATCACGAATGTGACTCTCGACTGTTGTGCCATCAGCAAATTTAATAAGTTTGATTTGTGCTTACTTTAGCTAGACTGGCATGCAGCAACAGAAAAAAGAGCACAGGGCTAAATCCTCACCCTTCCCTGAATATCATGATCTGTAACATTTGTTTGGGGTTTTGATTGTAATTTTTACAAAATAAAGTCACTCGTTCATTTATTATCTTAACCGTTTTTCCCCACTTGAGTCATGGGGAGCTAGCGCCAACCTCCAGCAGTCACTGAGCAAGAGGCTGGCAACACCTTGGACTGGTTGCCAGTCCATCACAAGGACACACACCTTTAATCTTCTGTTTGGACTGGGCATGGAGAGCTCTTTTCATGCTCAGCTACAAGTTCTTGACAGGACTGAGATTTGGTATTTGATCCAACTACCCTAGACCATTCACTTTGTTGGCTTTGAACCCTTCCTGGTTAGCTTTTGCTGTTGGTCGTTTTCTTGCTGGAACATAAATCTTTACCCAGATTGTAGTTCTGTTGATTAAGACAGCCTTTCATTATTTGAGGATTATTTTCTGTATTTTCCTCTCTACCTTTACCAGCCTTCCAACAGCCTTTCCACATGATGCTGCCACCACCGTGCTTCAGTGAGGGTGGCATGTCCATAACAACCTGTGTCATCTAATCAGGCTAAAGACAGAAGTCTCTTTTAATTGACTGCTCTTTTTTCTATAACAGCAAGCCGATTTAGACAAGAGCCATACTCCTTCCATTTCTTACAGACTGATTTACCAAATGTCCAGTGAGTTGAAAATCTTTTTGCAGCAATCTCCAGACTTGTTTTTGAGTGTTCTTTTTTCTTCATGTTTTGCAGATGCTGATGAACCAGTAGCTGGATTTTCTAGGCAGTTTTTTACACTTCCATTACCTGGCAAACATCAGGTAATCTCTATTTAATCAATTGTGACTGATGGGATTAGCGGACCTCAATTGAAGTAGGTCAGTTAATTTAAGGAGTAATTTTATTCAGAATACATTTTTTATTAAATGATAAATGAGGTAGAGGACCCCAAAGTGCTTTACACTACATTGCATCATTCATTCATCCATCCATTCACACTCAGATGGTGAGGAGCTACAACGTAGCCACAGCTTACCTGGGGCACACTGGCAGGGGTGAGGCTACTGAAAGGAGGCGCGCTGGTCCCTCGGTCTGCCACCAGCAGGAAAGGTTGACTGGGCGTCTTGCTCAAGGACACAACAGCAACATTCTCTGCGGGATCGAGCCTACAGCCTTTCGATTACCCGACAACCCGCTCTACCTCCTGAGCTACTGCTGCACAATTAAAGAAATTGTTTTTGTAAATATCGGTTTTCAGTTTTAAATTAAAGTTTTCCCCCAAAAAGCCTAAATCATACTTATAAAAGCAACTGATAGAATAATTATTCATGTTTTCTTTATCATGCTTTAATTACATTTAAAGATTGGTTTCATTTATTATGTTTTATGCTTAATGATTTTACCATTTGATGCTTAAACAGTTGCTGTATTGCAAAGTCCCCTCATGAGACTTTAAGAGTGTTAAAATCTGACCAAATGTGACCCAAAGATGACCCGAGCAGATCTGATCTGTCAATTGCTGACTCGTGCAACTGTTTGCTACTCATCGGGTGATTACACTGAAAGTTCTTTGTGTAATATGCTCTTTGTTTGAAACTTGTTACAATTAAAGACTGAGAGCTGTGTTTTCCCCGCTCCCTTCAGATCAGTTCTTCAGGCATGTACCTAGGGAGCTCCCAGCTTGTAGCAAATAGAGACGCTCGGATTCCAAAGGCCAGAATGTTTTGGAGGAACTGTCAGCTCAGTGAAGACTGAGATGGTGTGGCCTTATTCCATTCTCCTCGAGCTTAAAACAGAATTCTGACTTTTGTGTCTCTTTCCTTGTGTAGTGTTGTTATATGGGGTCTTAAGTGCTTAAACCTGACAGCAACAAAACGTAAAAATATCTAAGGAAGTGAATATTTTTATGTTATCAATACTTGGATAATAAAAAAAATGCAGATGGTATTTTTTTTCCTCAGAGCCAGGCCACCTGTATTCTCTTCCATTTTATCAAATTGCATTGATTGGATGAAACTGACCAATCTCAAAAAAAGCAAATTTACAGGGAAAAAAAAAAAAAAAAAAAGGCCCAGATGACAGTTTGAACCTTAGTGTAATCTCCTCTTTGGTGTAAAAAGACTATATTCTGTTCCTATCTAACAGGGCGTAATGATTCCTGATACATGTTTATATCCCAGCATCTAAACTCTAGCGGAGTATTCCCCTGTGCTGCAACAACCTCCAGTGACACCCACAGATACAAACAATAGCTCCTATTGTTACACGAGGGAAACCACGCGTCAGATGACTGAGAACCTCCACCAGCAGGAGCCAAGCCAGCGGTTTTGATTCCTAACTTACTGGCAACCCATAGCTATTCTCACCAGAATGAAATGTAATAATTTCCCCATATCTACTTTTCAACATTTAGATTACTTTATAAAAAGTATTTATCCTCTATCTAGAACTATTTGCTTCTGTTTGTCATTTGGTGTAAACTGCTAAAAGTCAACATCACAGCTGTGGTTGCCATGGCGATCGGTCGTATAATGCAAAACACTCATTAGCTAAACAGGCTTTAGTGACATGACTAACCCGTTAAAGTCTAATCGCCCCACAGTGCTGCCGTTTTACTTAGTGGTCGCAGCATTGTCGTTTGTCCTGCCAATCAGCACACATGGCAGGTCAAAGGGCCAAGGTCCACATTAGGATGGGGCCGCCCACTCTGTGGGGAGCACTTCCTGTGGTGGTCTGCATGTTGATGTCAGCGAGGGGGGGGGGGGGGTCAGATGTTCAAGGTCCAAAGGTCAAAGATAAAGTATGCATTCAGGAAATGAGTTTCTTTACCCCAGCTCAGATTCTTTTGTGCAATGGATTAAAAATAAATACAAATTTAACTGCAGCCCAGAGAGAAGAAAACATCTCCAGGTGGAGGTTACTGTTTAGGTCATAGGAGGGTTCAGAAATGTACAAGAAAATGCTAGCCCCAGCTACAAAACACAAAAATACCTGTAGGTCCTTAATAGGTCTAAATACAAACTACAAAAGAGCATTTCTTTTACTCTGTCCATCCATCCATTACATAGCTCTCACTGACCAAAATGTAAATGTGGAATAATCTGCACGATGCCACAAGAGTGAGATCTCAAATACGGTTTCAATAAACATTTACTTATCCAACATCAGTCCTGAAAACAGCAGACAAGCTGATCAAAAATAACCATTCTGGTTTTCCTGAGAGTTTTGAAAAGTGAAGAATATTCCACAGATGTGTAGGAGCTGCTGGATCTAGCTCTTTGTGAGGCGTGATGAAGTTTCAAGTCACTAGAGACTCCATTTCCCCTCAGGGGTCTCCACAGCAGGGATGCATGCTGGTGCAGTTGGTTTCCTTGCAGAAGGTTGCTGATTTGACTCCCACTTCTGCCGCCTCTCTGCGTGTCGTCATCCATGGGTTTCCTCCCACAAACTAAAAACATGCATGTCAAGTTTTTAGAGACTCTAAATTCTCCCTAGTTGTGTGTGACACTTTGTTGGACTGGAGACCTGTCCAGGGTGTCTCCACCCTCTCATCACTGGAGTTAGACACCAGCTTCCTGTGACCCTAGTCCTCTACTTTTCCACTAGTCACCTACTACTTCCATGTATCCATATAAACCCTTTTACTGCCTACGTCATCAAAAGTTGCGCGTGCAGCCTGGCAACGAGAGTGAAGGCTTCCTCACTCACACTCAATATTAAAACAGCATTTTAAACCCTTTGTTTTGAAGTTCTAAGCACATAAAAATGTCGGGTTGTTGCGTGTATGGATGCCAGAATTGCTTCTCTTCAAGCAGTGGACTGAAACTTTACAGAATTCCGAAGGGAGCACATCCATTTTAACAAAATCGGAGGCGATACACATTTGTCATTCTTTACATGCCTCTTAGTGTGACACTGCTCCTCCTAACAGTTTCGGAAGCAGCTGGGAGCTGTATGCAAAACTTCTTCGGTTTGTGGAAACTGATCATCTTCAGTGGAGCTGGTTCTACATTTTTCCTGCTCAGGTCTTTCCATGCACATGCCTGAGATGTAACTGCAGCCTTTTCTGTTTTTCCCATCCTAACACAAAGCTCAAGTCTGGAACATCAAAATGACAGAATTAAACAAATTTATACGCTTTATTTCATGCTTCAAATTAACATTTCATTCTAATTCATCTGTATTTTCCCACTGCATATTAGTGTAAACCGTATTTCTCTGAAATTAACACGATTGTACTCTGAGCACGCTAAAAAAGAAACTATACTCACCCTGCCATGCAGGTACAGTTGGCTGTGAAGACATAGTTCTCTGGTTTGTTTACTATGACCCAAGCCTCGTACATAGCAGTCTTGTGTCCTTGTCTTTGGCTAGGAAGGACTTCTGCCTTCAAGACGCAAAACTCAGAGTCTATGTGGTGATATTTACTTTCTGTACGTGGCCACAGACAACATAGTTGTATGCATCTAACGATTTGTATGCCCCTAGCTTCTCACGTGTGTACTTACTGGGCCTCTCCACTAAAAACGTATATATATCGGGCCACTGGATATCTGGCCACGCACCTACATCTTCCACCCATTCCGTAATGCCACAGGGATCCGGGAGTCTGTTGCCATTCGTTAAAGCGAGTTTAATAATATAACGTTCAAGATTTGCCGGTGATAACCCCGCAGCGTAGCTTGGTAAAGCCTGACACAACGCCATTCTCTGTTGCCAAGCTGCGCGCGCATTCTCACTGACGTCATATTGTTTACAAACAGTAAAAGGGTCTATATATCTCAGCTTTGGTCTTTCTCTCCACCTCCTTCTGTGGACGTCTAGTAAACCTGACAGATCCAACCTAAACCTTCCTTCTACTAACATCTCCACTACCCGTCCTCATTACACATCCAAACCATGCCTGGCCTTCCTGATCTAATATGTAAAAAGATCTGAATACAAACACTAATTTAATACTGAAACAGACAATAATTTAACAGTGTGTGTGCTGATATTCGTAAAAGGGTAAAATCAGAACTGTTGCTCTCAGATTCAGGCCCTTTGAAGGGATGAGCCATTTAGGATGTTCACATGAAGCATATTGTTCTTGCTTAATTCAGTCATTTCTAATTGACATGATTCCTTTTGGTTTAACATGTTTTGATGCTTCCGATTCAGATCTGCAGCACCTCAAAAAACAAGAAAGGAAACATTTATGGATTTCAGCTGCAAGAATTCTTCTTTTTATTTAATTTATGAGGCGACCTCCTGGGGAAAGTCTAGTGGCTTTTAACCGATCAAATTACGCATCTCCGATTATGTGACAGCAGTGAGGAGTCTACGAAAAAGGATTAGGTCCATTGAAAAAAAAAAGAAAAGGAAGAGAATTCTGACTTTTTTTCTCTGAGATTAAAGTCAGAATTCCCTTTTTCTTTTCATTGGCCCTAACCCCGGCTTTCCACAGGAGCCGTCAGCAGCACGTCTTTCTCACGTAAACTACTGCTTGGCCCTTCCCACGAGACGCGAAGCAGCAGGGGAGCAGCTGTCACCGACCGAGCACGAAGTCACACGAGTGACTTCGTCAGTAAACACAACAAGCAGGAGAAAACTACAACATGGCTCCAAAAGGTTTGTGTTTTATGTTCTGTCCGTTTTATAATCGCCAATACGGACCTGAAAACAAAGGAGACCGCTAGCTAGGTGATAACTTCTCACGGGGACGCACATTTAGTAACTGTTTTTAAAAGTAAAGCAACCGGAAGGCAGTACGTTTCTTTATTCTGGAATCTCGGGAGCTTCTCTCCGTTTCCGCGTCGGATTTCCTGTCTTTCCTTCCCCCAAAATGTCAAACTTGACCCGTTTCAGAGGCGTCGTGCGTAGAAAATAGAACCGGCGTGTAAAGGCCGCGACATGCTGCTCCTGAGACGCGGCCGACTCGCGCTGCTGACGGCTCCAGTGGAAAAGGTTCTGTTGACCACAGCGGTTCCTATCAGCAGCTATGACGTGCTGCTGACGGCTCCTGTGGAAAGCAGGGGTAACCATCTTCCGGAGGCGTCGACTCGATCGACTGACGACTGCTTTGACCTGTGTCACCAGGAGACAACCCCGTTTGTTGTTGAATTTTTGCAGATGAAATTTTGGCTGCTGTACTTTAGGTTAAAAAAAATTCTAATACATAATTTCACAAAATAAAACATTCAATGTCTACAAAGGTCAAATGTGTCACTGAGCTCTTTAAATGCTGAATAAAAAAATCTAATATACCAGTCAACATTAGAAAAGGAATAAAAAGGCCAAAAGTAAAACCATTCATCATTTTCTTTGCTTTCATAATCCCCAGAAATCAAAGTGCAAAAAATCCTTCATAACACCTTAAGTCCTCCCGCATACGTCGTGTTGTCTATCTAAGCCCAAGGCCCCCAGGCTCCAGCGGGGCCCGGGTCACATCTGGGGTCATCATCGGGGAAGTTTATGGGTGATGCAGTTCTCTGGAGCTTATGGAGTCTGTTGAGGAGGTGCTCGACCACTTTGGGGAACTGAGCAGACACCTCGTTTCTTTCCTGTGGATCTTTTTCTACATCAAACAGCATCACAGGCTTTAGAGGATCCACTTTAAATGAGACGGACTCTGAGGTGTTTTGTTCAGGCCGAGGAAACCAAACATCACAACCTGGAGGGGGAAAAGTTACAGAGGCTTTATTTAAGCTTTACTGTCCTTCTGTATTGAAGTAAAGGCTTCATTCTCCAGTCCACTTCTATCGGAGACTAAACATGTCATTACAGCCAACCGAGATACAGACCTGGGTATCCCGTCAGCAGCTTCCAGTTGGAGGATCGGATGGCCGCGTGAATGGACACATTGAAGCTAGAGTTGGCCCACGAGTCTCCACTGACCCCCTGAGCCAAAGTCAAGTGCTGTTGCCTGCCAGGGCCTACAGAGAGCAGACAACAGAGCCGATACTCCAGGTCATTCGCCTTGAAAAACAGCAGAAATCGCTGATCAAGACGATATTAGACCACAACTGGACACAAAGCTCCTTCTGTGGATGTCTAACGTACAAGAACGCATATTGTCTCCAAACTTTAGTGCATACCTTAAAAATCTGTCAGTATCAAGTGAAGGTAATAAAATAAATAGAGCTGTAAACTCGGCAGAAGAACAGCAGGAACAGGGCGGCTTTACTGGAATCACTCCTGTTTAAAAAGGAGGCAGTTTCCTGAGGTTTTTATAAGACGTCTACAACATTCTTCATTTGTAGGGTTTAATATAAAGTTGCCCAGCCATTTGCAGCGATAACAGATTCTGCTCTTTTGGGAAGGGTTTCCACAAGGTTTCAGAGTGTTTATGGGAAGTTTTGATCATTAGGCATTTGTAAGGCCTAGTGCTCACTCCAGGTCACTGTGAAAGTGTAGTGGTCAGGACTATGTGCAGGTCAGTCAAGTTCCTCCACACCAGACTCACTCACCGATGTACTGGAACATCTAAATGCACCGAGTTGTGACCTTTTTCTTACTATAGTGCTTACTCAACACGGCTTAGCTTTGCACAGGTATAAGGCATTTCTATTCATAATGGGTACCAGATTGTTATCCCTCGTTTTAAAAAAATCAACTTTAATGTGGTTCCAAGCTTGCCTACAGTGAAGCACGGTGGTGGCAGTGTCCTTATACGGGGCTGCATGAGTGCTGCTGGTGTTGGGGAGCTGCATTTCATTGATGGTATTATGAACTCAGCAATGTACTGCTCTATACTGATGGAGGATGCTGCCATCACTCTGTGCACATGGTCGCCGAGCTCTTTTCCAACAGGACAATGATCCAGAACACACGTCTAAAGCTACTGTTGCATTTCTGAAGAAGTGAAGGTGACTGAACGGCAAAGCACGTCTCCTGATCTGAACCCAATCCAATGCCAGTGGGGAATTCTGAAGCAGCAAGTTGAGCTTCACTCTCCATCCAGCAACCAGGCCGTTGAAGAATGGAAAAAGTTAGCTGTTGCAACATGTCACCAACTTGTTCATTCCATGCCTAGAAGACTTGGTGCTGAAAACCACAGGGGTCCTACAAAATAACAGATGTAGTTTTTGTTGTGGGGTGGACTCAGTTTTGCTTCAACCAATTTTAGTAAAACTGAAGATTTTGTGATCTAAGTTATATTATTAGCTTCATTTTATGTTATGGAGTTAGACAAGTGCTCACAAAAACCCAGCCTTTTCTGGAAACTGTTCTATTCAGTGAGCCAGTATTAAAGCGGTACTTTTTAAAAGGGGGTGCACTCTATGCTGAGCACTGTATGTGACCTCAATGACAAAGGAGCAAAAATGCAAATTCATGACATGCTCCCTTTAGGACAAACGCTTTTTAATGCAAGAGCTTCCTTAAGCACGTGGAACTTGGCAGGAGGGATTTGACGAATACGGTGGTAAATGTGGTTGACTCAGCACCAGTCTTCCATGTCTGCCAGATGTAATGAGTAATTTGACATGTGTGCAGTTCTGCAGATACAGAGAGCAACAATACGTAAATGAGAGCCAGCAACAGTTACCAGGTGGCATACGTCACCAGTTAAACAAAGCAAAAGTAAATAATTTATCCCTGTTTTGATGATGTCCAGAAACTTGTGTCAGCTTCTGCAACAAGCTACTTCTACTTTTATGGAAAATGTCTCCCAGAAGTGAGCACACATGTCTGCGTTTTCCCAAAAATGAGGAAACCTTGCCTTGAGAGCATTCTGGAGTTCATGCCGTGAATGACCCCAACAATGTGGTCCTGATTAGGCAGGTTTGCAAGTGATTTGGTCCTCCCGAGGCTGTCACAAACAAATTCTTCCTCACATTCCTTGCATAAAGACCAAGCCCCCACAATGTGGGTCTGAAATTGAGGGCAATGCGGAAATTAAATAAATTGCAGTCCCACCCTCATCCACTAGGGGCTGGTGTCAGAAGCGAGCAAATCCTCATTGACTCCCATGTTAAAAATACCAATTTCACAGCAGAAATAAACATGTTTACAGCCTGGTACCAAAACATGTTTTTGGTTTAAATGATCTAGTTTACACTCATGACAACTCTGAGGGGGGTGAATTTTTTCTCACTCTTCTGTTTAAGTGTATTAAAAGCCTAAAATTCTGACTAATTAATGAACATCAGACCCACGTGACCACAGAGCTAGCTCCGGGGAAAGGCCTCAGTCTGAGCCTCGGCCTCGCATGAAAACTGTTCTGCAATTTTTTGTCTCTGAACTTAAGACCATTAGTTGTAGTGTTTGTGTGTTCTTTTTGGATATTGTTTGTGCAATTGTTGGACAAAATGACTTGCTGTGGTATTAATTGCACTAATAGAGCGTCCAAAGAGTCTCCACTTCATTTTTTCGGTAAGTAAAATTATATTTATGTATTTTAGGTCACTGCCGCTCTTGCACTAGCTGAGCTTAGATTTTAACATGTACTGTTTAACCATGAAATTTAAATGTAATAGGGTAAAACCCAGTGCATTTAACATAATGCTGCACTTTAGAAAATGGGTTGAAATATAACATGTTGGTGGAGCTGGGTTCCGACTATCTGTATGGTCCCCTCCTCAACAGCTCGGCGCATCTCTGATCGCTGCGGCGCTTGTCTGCTGCGCGGCTGCCGGCTTGTGAAGCTCTCGGGAGACCTCCGTGTTCCACCCAGTTTTACCCAGCGGTCAGCCCGGCGTATCTCCGACGCAGAAGCTCTGGTGTTGTGCACAGTTAACTCTGGTTGTAGCTAGGTTGCTACCTCTGTTAGCTTAGCTCCCACCTCCGCGTTAGCTTTGGGTTAGCTTGTAGCTACATTAGCTTCAGTTCGACGGGTATCGTCAGTTGATCCAAGCCTTACAGCCCCGCCCTCAGCTCCACGGTCATCCCTTTTGTGGAATTGTCTGGGCTTGACGGAACCTGTGACACGGTCAAAATGGCGGTGGTGGCCACCTCCCATTTTAACTCAAAAATGTGTTATTGGAGCCTATGGAAACCCATTGTCCATTTATGTATGTCGATGTTATAGACAAATCTGCACCCACACAGAGCCTTCGTTTCCTTCTGAGCTCGTTAAGCAGAGGCTGTTCCACCACAGCGACGTGACTGGAGAGTTAAAACATTTCCCATCTCAGCGTTCCTAAACCACATGTTAAAAGCTTCAACATTCAATCCTTCGCTGATTGTTGCGCAAATGACATGTGGGCATCTTAATTGCTCTCGCTTGCAATAAGTTGGTCTGCTTGCTGAGGAGTGTTCCCTGAAGTAAACACTTCCAGGGCACACACTGTTGCATAAGCAGGAGGGTATCTAAAAGGAGTTGTGCCATTATATAAGTTAGCAGATGGACACCATGAGCACTATACAAACATCACGGTTTGACTGATTTTGCCATTGTCCTACTTTTGCTAATTTAAGGAAATTGATGCACATTTTGCATACATGTGCACGTTTTACATTCGTTTCATACGTGCACAGAGGAAGAAAAGGGTCAGCACAAAATGTGCTCATCTGGATCCAAAGCAAGATTATCCAGGAATGAGCTCAGGGTGGAGGAGGGGAATTCGGACTGAGCAGAGAAACTGCTGGACGCATAGCGGAGGAGTTAGGTGGGGAAATTTGGGGCTGATTTGAGTTTTGGGGCGAAGTCCAGGATTTCCCTCTCTCTTTCTCTCTTTTCCAAAAAGGCAGAGGTGCAGGCACCCCTCTGTGACACATTTAGACAGGATGCCTCTCCTGGCATTGCGAGAACAAAGAAGGGGGATTTTCAAAGCCAGCTTAAAAGGAAAAAGGTTTGTAAAAATGAAAAAGGAAGGAGCTTTGGATGAATTAAAAAGAGAAAAGCGTGAAGAGCAACTTGGAGTAAAACAGGAAGGACTGTGAAGAGCGCTAATGAGAAGGAATAAAGAGGAGGAATCTCACGTCAGGAATGCAAAAGGGGGAGGCTGGTTGTCACACTGGTGGCCAAAATACAAAGATTTAAACATAAAACGTAACGGTGAAAGCTTGTAAAGCAGCACAGTTGACTTTAACTCTGCTTCTCTTATCATCTGAATGATGGCCACAGAATTAGGCTGTGTAAACAGCTCCGTTGCAAAAAACACAATAAATCAGACACTGGACTTTTCTTTTTTTCCATTAATGGTTTTAAATTGTGGCAAATAAGATCTCAGGGTGGAAATCAAAGTTGGTTCTGAAAATTAAAAAGAAAAAGTGGATCTAAATACCAAAAGGAAGAGTTAAAAGACTTGAAATGCGTCAAGTTAATGAAAGGCCACCCAGCCTCTATCGCCCCCTGTGGCCAGAATACTCCACTTGCAACTTCAGACTGGCAAGCTGCTCTGTTGAGACTTGGCACTGCAGTCTGCTTTCTGTTCGTTTTAGATCATGAACACAGCTGATTTGTTTAATTTAGCGATGAATCACTTAGATACTAAGGCTGGGAGACATTTCAGCTGTTAGATTAAGGTGTTAAAACAAGTAACTTTTGGTTTAGGTTGATGTCACAATAAGGAAAATTAACACACACACACCACCAGTAGAGGCTGGAAGAGCTGCGACTCTACTGAGCCCCCCTGGATATCTGAGCTTCTCACCTGATAGCAGCCAATCAGGATGTGGGTGGACGTGGCCAGCAACAGTTTATTTGCATTAGCGTGACAGAGCCCAGTAACAAAGGTACTGAAAATGTTAAGAATAGAGCTGATGAGATAACCCTAACTTCATAAAGATGTTTACGGTTTCAACCATAGAACCATTAAAACGTCACACCAGCCTAACATGGTTGTGGTGTAATGGTTTGGGAATGTTTTGCTGCTTTAGGACATGGACAACTCCCTGTAATACTACAGGATATTAATACAGTAGTATATACTATTTTTGCCATTGTGATGACAATACATTTATCATATATCTGTGCAGTCCTACAGGACAA